TCGAACGATTCTGGAGCTCGTAGTCCCGACTTCGTGCAGACAGAAACCGAAAACCTTGACCCTAAACCCTAAAACCTAAAACCTTAACCCTAAACCCCAAAACTTTAACCCTAAACCCTAAACCCCAAAACCTTGATCCTAAACCCTAAACCCTAAGCCCTTCAGGATCCTGGTACTCAAAGCTTTTAAAGTGTCTGAGTCGAGGCCCCGGCTTTGTCCCTTCTTGCTCAGCTTGGACGCGCGGAAGAAGCTGCTGTGCGCTCAGAAGGTGGTGTTATGAGAGTTGTCATTGCGGGTTTCAAGGACATTTTCAGGTGGGTAGTGATCGTTATAGGAGCCTTATAGAAAAGTCTATATACCTTATGGAAGCTTTTTAGAAGCCCTATATACCCTAAACTCCCCCCCCGTGTAGTTTCCTTTAACGGGTTTAAGTTTGGAATTCAACGTAGGGGTCTGCATGATCACTAACATTGTTCCGGAAGGCTTATGAACATAATGCAGATGGACCCCTGAGGAATAAACTTTTTTGCTGTATATTATGGGGGGTGATGAACTTATTATTATTAAAGCAGCCGCGGTCTGGGGAAGCGTACTCTGAGGCAGGTTTCAAAGGTTGGGCTTTGCTTTAGGGTTTGGTTTCGGGTTCGGGGTTTAGAGTTCAGGGTTTAGGGTTCAGGGTTCAGGGTTTAGGGTGTTTGTGAGAATACCACAGTCCAAGCCACCTGAGGAACGTGCTCGCATTGGGGCAATCGTAAACCCTAAACCCTAAACTGCTACTGACCGAAGAGTACTTCAAGTCTCTTCAAAGCCACGATCCCTCCCAACCTCGACCCTGCCAAGTGGAGTGCGAAGGTCTCCATTGGATGTTATTTCTGCAGAAAAATGACTTCACGATCCGCTTGAATGTCTTCGTAGCCCTATAAACCCTAACCCCTAAACCCTAAACCCTAAACCCCTAAACCCTAAACCCTAAACCCCTAACCCTAAACCCTACACCTTCTACCATTTGTGACAAGGCCGCCTGTCGGGCTGACATGGGAAGCAAACGGAGTGGCACCTTCTTGCGAAGTCGTTTGACACGAGACCAGCGCGAAGAACTTCGAACCCAAACGGTGCTTCCATGGGCATACAGAGGAATCTTACAGTCGCAGCTGAGCAGGTAACCTTTAACCTTTGGGGTTTTTGTATCCTACCATACTTGAAAGGGTTACGTTTTTGGGGCGTAAGGTAGGAACCTGATTAAGAAACCCAGGCCCTATAACCCCAATATATTAGGATTCATATTAAGAACCCGAATAAAGGC